AAATAAAAAAATTAAAAAAAAAAAAAAAGAATTCTATACCCTTTCAAGACCTTTCAATAACCTTTCAAGAACAAGGGTAAAAAATATTTCACACAAGCAAACAAAAAAAATTAGTTAGTAAACTCTACCTAAAGGAAATTTTAAAGGATACACTTTGAACAAGTGGGTGAATTTGTATGAAAGATTTGAGAAGCAATGATTAGCCAAATGATAAAAATGTAAGTAAATACAAACATTGTATAAAACAGTAATGTCTAATTTGTTGGAAGAAGGGACATAGACTAGTGTTAACTAAAACATTATAAGACAGTATGAAAACTGGAAGGGGCAATTAGAATTAAAGTGTGCTTGGGTCCTTATAGAAGACAGAAATCCCCCGGGGGACCTGGGTGTCTCAGTTGGTTAAGTGTCTGCCTTCAGCTCAGGTCATGATCCCGGGGTCCTGGGATAGAGCCCCCATCGGGCTCCCTGCTCGGTGGGGAGTCTGCTTCTCCCTCTCCCTCTGCCCCTCCCTGCCCACTCATGCTCACTCTCTCTCTCTTTCTCAGTAAATAAAATCTTTAAAAAAAAAAAAAAAGGAAATCCAGGGGTGCCTGGGTGGCTCAGTTGGTTGGGTGACTGCCATCGGCTCAGGTCATGATCCTGGAGTCCAGGGATCGATCCCGCATCGGGCTTCCTGCTCAGCAGGGAGTCTGCTTCTCCCTCTGACCCTCCCCCCTCTCATGCTCTATATCTCATTCTCTCTCTCAAATAAATTAAAAAAAAAAAGAAATCCAAAACCAAGCAGAGAAAAAGAAACAAAAAAGATAATATAAAGTGGAAACACATAAAATGATAGAAATAAATTCATATGTATCCACAGTGATAATAAATGTAAATGAATCAAACTCTCTTGTTAAAGTAGAGATTAACAGAATGGATTAAAGAACATAATCTAGATATAAACTACACGCAGGAGATAAGACTCCAGACATACACGGAAAGATTGAAGGTAAAAAGATAAAAGGAGGGGAGCCTGGCTGACTCAGTCAATAGAGCATGGAACTCTTGATCTCAGGGTTGTGAATTTGAGCCCCAGGTGGGGTGGAGAGATTACTTAAAAATAAAGTTTTAGAAAAAAAAAAGGTATTAGGCAAATGCTAACTAAAAATAAAGTTAATGTAGATGTAATAAGAACCAACAATTTTTTGTCTTAAAATATAAAAAATGACGATATATAACAAAAGTTCAATTTACTAAGCAACAAATGCTCAAAATACTTTAGGCAAAGATAGGCACGAATACAAAAATAGTAACTAAAAAGATCATCTTTGTGGATTTTAATACATCTCTCTGTAATTGACAGACTACACCAAAACCAAACAAAAAACCCAAAACCTAGAGAAATATCAAAGGAGTATCACATTTAACACTTTTGATCTCACACAAGAGAACACTCTATACAACCAATGGAGAACACACACCTTCTTCGAGCACATGTGAAATAGTTTTGGAAATGAACTACATGCTAAGTCATAAAGCTAGTCTCCATAAGCTTCAAAGACCACATTTTCTGACTACAATGCAATCAAGTTAGAAAACAATAACAAAAATATAAAAACTCCTTATGTGTGAAAATCTAAAACTGTTCTAGAAACTATAAAAATCTACATTACACATCAATATGACTACATCTAAAATAATCGAAAGAAATCACAGAAAACTATATAAAAATGGTTCATTTATTTAAAGAACATATTCACTAGTGACAAAAGTATAAGGAAAGACAATGGAATGATTAACAGAAAATTTACTCTAGTGGTTATCTCTGGGTGGTGAGGGACTGTGTGGGCTGGATGGAGAGAAGATACCCTATGGCACTATTAATGTTTCTTGAGCTGAAACTAGAGATCTGGGTGATTATTCAAATTTTTAAAAACTATATATGAGCCTTCTACACTTTTAGATAACAGAATTACAATAAAATTATGGAAAAAATGCAGGGAAGAGGAAAAAGAATTAGGTATAACTGTTAAAATGGAGCTAAAGAGTGACAAGGGTGAACAAGTTGCCACCCACATGCATGATTTCTCTACAGATTATCTAATGCCACTGCTTGCCTCCTCCATCCCAATTAGTAAAAGTAAAATCTATCCTATTCTGTGATACTTTTAAGAAAGGAGGATTCTCTCACATCCAAGGTCTCCCTTACATCATTCCAAAGATTTACTCCATGGTCTTCTCTCTCTTTCCTCATATAGGTTATACTCCCTACATCGTCCACATTAAATCAATTTTGTAAACATTTGTCCTTATCTTTCTACAACAGGTAAGATATGGTATCAAGAAACAGAGGGTGAGACACTGTTTTACCTGCATGTCACTTTTGGCAGCTTTCACAGCATCAAAGAGATCACTGGGTGGTAGCTCTGAGTCTTTCTGGCCATGACCATGTACCATTCGGGACCCCTTCTTTGGATGTTTTGCTACCTAGTAAATATAAAGAGATCAGAAATATTTTTAAAACGTCAAAGTGATATTAACAGTCTCATCACTGTCATACAAGTAGGCTTAAGCTGCCAATTTCACAGCAGAATTTGAGTTACTGAGATCTAAAATAACTGATTTTTACACTGTGAACTTTATTATTTCTTACTTTTTCTCCTTTTAAAAAGTCCCTTAAGCCCATTCTTTTTCCTCTATTCTTAATACCCTTCTTTTATTCTTTTCTCTTCAAAATTTGCCTTCCTCCTACTTCTGTCCCTTAACACTCTAAATTTTGCCCTTTCATCAAACATATTACCTGAGCCTTTTCTAGATTTTCGTTTTGTTTGGGTTTTGGGGTTTTTTGTTTTTGCTGCTTCCCAGACTAGGTTCAAAAGCAAAACGAAACTGATTGACTCACTGGGGTTGTTTTGAGTGGTCGTTTTGCTGCTCTCTTCTTCACGCTGTGTCTCAGGCTATCTTCAAAGTCACTGCCTTCATCAGCTGATAAAGAATCACTATCCCTATGAGAGAGTGTGGTTCTCCTTAGATACACAACCCCAGTCCCTCCATATAAAATGGCAAATAAATTATAATTTCTTTTTCTGTAACTGTAACCCCTTCTCCATGAGAAAAATATATTCAGATTTTTTTTTTTTAAAGAAGAGGTTTACTTTAACAGGGAGTAGAGACAGAATCTTAAAGGAAAACTTTCACTTGAAAAAAGCAGTGAAGATGTAAAATGAAAACTGGAGTGGGTAAAGGACAACCCCTTCCTAATATTCTCTCTGAATAAGAAAATCAAATGAGGGTGCCTGGGTGGCTCAGTCGTTAAGCATCTGCCTTCAGCTCAGGTCATGATCTCAGGGTCCTGGGATCGAGTCCCACATCGGGCTCCCTGCTCTGCGGGAAGCCTGCTTCTCCTTCTCCCACTCCCCCTGCTTGTGTTCCCTCTCTCGTTGTGTCTCTCTCTGTTGAAAAATAAATAAAATCTTTTAAAAAAAGAAAATAAAAATGATATTCACGGGGCGCCTGGGTGGCTCAGTC